TTCTAAATATGAACCCCAAAAAGGACCTACTATGGGGCCTATAGGTAAGGAGCCTGAACCCACTAGGCTTGGAGATCCTCCGACACTGGGAGGGTCTCGCGCTGATCACGTCGATGGCAGCTTTGGCCATGACCTTTTTCTGGGCGCTGCTGCAGCCAGGCACTGTTCTCAGCCTCGAGTAGCTTTTCTTCTTACTTTTAGTACCGAATTCCGGGTATTTAACAAGGTAGTATTGCTTGTACATACTTACCGGCACTGTCACACATATATGTTTGTTACAATGTCTGCAAAGAGCTACGAATACATGTCAACTTAGTGCTATGAGGGTTGGTTGGAGTATTGGGTTGTGCTTCAGACGTCTTGCAGGGTCCTTAGGCTTTCCTTGATATTTCTGGCAAGGTGTCATAGCTGCACCGTAGGGCACGAAATCCATCAGCTCCAGACTGCGAGGAGGGAGTAGATTGAGTAGACTTTGGTGCGTAGGGTAGAGTGAAGGGTTTCGGGGTGTAGATTTGCGGGCTTCCAGACTGCAGGGCCCCTAAACCCTAAACCCTGAACCCCTAAACCCTACACCCTAATCTCATGAGCAGGTTTTCTGAAACACTTCGTGCTTCATGTTCACTGCTGCGACGGTTATTGGCCCAAGGCTCCAGCAAACAAGGGAACAAGGCCATCGCGGGGGTTCTGTCTTTCTGGTAGGGTCCGTGGTGCTGAGCATCGTGAAGTCCTGAACCATATGTATGTATGTATATATATATATATATATATGTGTGTGTGTGTGTTATATATATATATAAATATATATATATATATATATGTATATAGATATATATATATATATTTATTTATATATATTTATTTATTTATATGTATTTTTTTATTTCTTGATTTATTTATTTGTTGATTTTATTATTTATTATATAATATATTTTCCAACCCCTAAACCCTAAATCCCGCAAATCCCTCCGCCTGCAACTCGTAAACCTCAGATCCTAGGCCCTAAACCCAAAACCCAGAAGCCCTAAACACTAAACCCCGAAGCCCTAAGCCCTAAACCCTAAACCGCTAAACCCCTGAAACCCTAAACCCCTATACCCTAAGCCCTAAACCCTAAAAAAGAGAAAAGCCTAAACCATGAGCTCCCTAGACCCCCCAACTACCCCTCTAATATACTTTAAATTCCCACAATTAAGGACCATGAGGGGCTCCATTAAAGGGCCCTTAAGTGGGTCCTGGTCGGTACGCTCCTTTCAAGCCGCCAGGACCCGACTGCTCCGAGCGAGAGTCGTCAGGGCTTCGCAGCCTCCACCACGCGAAAGAAAATGAGAGTTCTAGAGTTCTGTAGGGTTTATAGGGTTTAAGGTTTAGGCGTTAGGTTTTAGGCTTTAAGGATTTAGGGTTTAAGGGTTAGGGTTCAGGGTTTACAGATTAGGGTTTAGCGTTCAGGGTTTAAGGTTTAGGGTTTAGGGTCTGGGTTTAGGGGGGTTGGAATTCAGGGTTTCGCGTTTCGGGTTCCCGGTATGCACCGGGTTTGGGGGTGGCCGGTGGGTCACGGATTTCTGTATTTTTGGAGTGTTGGAAACTTGTGTCACGCAAGAAGGTCGGAAGCATCGGGTTCAAATTTCTTCATAAGTCTAGGACATTTTCAGGTGGGTAGTTGCCGTTATAGGGGCCTTATAGAAGGTCTATATACCTTATCGAAGCCTTATAGGAGCGCCATATACCCTAAACTCCCCACCTGTAGTTTCCTTTAAAAAAGGTTATTCGTCATTGAATCGACCACCATCGTTGCGGGTTCCAGGCGGGCTTGGCTTGTCATCTGCGCTTTTGCAGTACATAGGTTGGCAACCCTGTATGTATGCAGAAATCCTTCAGGACGAAATGAACCTCAAAAGGGCTTCAGGTTCAGATACCATATAGGGATTCATAGTATAAGGGTATAGGGACCCTACTTATAAGGGTCATTTCGTCCCCAAGGATCTGCTATTACTGAAAAAGATTACAGCGCAAGGGTCCGTTGGACGGTGTCGTTTATCGTGGTCCAGAGTACTCTTGTTGCGACTGATGTACTGGCCGTCCTAAGCGACAGCTGTGCCACAGCAGCACAAGCTTTGTTTATTGCAGCGTTGCAGAGGTGTGACAACACAAACCAGTGAAATGTTTCGAAGGGCATGAGCGCAGGTCCTGCAACTTTGCACAGGGGCGACGGTGCTGGCCGTACCAGTAGTATCAATTACAAGTTCGCAAGGTATCTGACTACGAACTGAAGCAAGGTGGTGCTGATGGGAGACACAGCAATGATGGTCGCCGAAGTACGATGGATAATATAGGGTCCTTAATCATTAGAATAGGGTGTTGGGGCCCAATATACTATAACTACACCAAGGACCCCCCAACATAGTTTTGGTAATTGTTAGGGCCCCTATATTCTGTGTGAACAACCGCCATGAAGCTTTGGGCACAGAGCCTTTTCCGGACTGAGGCCGACCCAGCCCATTATAACTTACTATGTTTGAATGTTTAGGGTTTAGGGTTTAGGGTTTCAGGTTTAGGGTTTAGGAAGATACTCTAATCAGTCTAATCTACTGGAATATACGTACTCGGTTATATACCGTAATGTACTACAATACACTATGAAACGTGAGAAGCTATAATATACACCACTCAATGATTATGGCTCAAGCGTTGGCAAGCATGCATTTAGCGCGGTTTTGACGTTGGAATGCCAAGTTCGAGCATCTGCGATGTATAGTAACCGAAATTTAATGCATCATGTTGGCGGGCCCCGAAGGAGATAGCCCCAGAATCATAGTTTGCAAGACGCACCAGGGTCGCAGAGTGCAACAAGCGATCCCGGCTGAAGCAGCTTACCTTTGCAATTCGTACCCAAGTCGACTGATCATGACATGCACGACAAGTGACAGGAAGCACGACTGGAATCATTTCAGTCACCATAACTCGCGAGGGCTTCCTGGCCCGGTAGTTCCTAGCAATGGAGACTCATGGTGTCATTGGACCTCCCCGGGACTGCCTGCAGTTTAGGCTTCAGAGGGCTTTAGGCATGTTCTGAGCAGGATCTCAGATCTTGGCATACTAGGGATTGCTGTGTTAAGCAGTCCTGACGTGGCTCTTCTCTTCATTTTTGCAATAGCCTTGGGCCCTTATAAGTAGGAGCCCTATACCCTCATACTATGAAGTCTATATGGTAGATGTACCTTAAGCCCTGTCAGGGTTCATTCTGTCCTTATGGAACTTGAACGCATGTGACGGCAGGAGTTCAGCCACATCTACTCCTACCAAACAGCCGACAGCTACTGCGTGGCGATCCAGCTGAGACCACCTTATGAAGGAGGCTCGAGGGTTTAGGGTTTATAGGGTTTAGGTTTTAGGGTCTAGGGTTTAGGGTTTTAGAGTTTAAGGTTTAGGGTTTAGGGTTTAGGGTTTCAGGTTTAGGCTTCAGGGTTTAGGGTTTAGGGCCATTTTGACAGACATCAGTGGGTTCAGGGTCTCGGTTGACGCTCTAAAGTTGCGAACTTCGGCTTCAAGTTGCCAGTTTGTGGTGTGGTGCTAATATTGCACATGGTTGTTAGGGTTTAGGGTTTAGGGGTTTAGGGTTTAGGGGTCTAGGGTTCAGGGGTTTAGGGTTTAGGGTTTAGGGGTTTAGGATTTTGTTTATCGACAGTTTCGGTCATAACTTTGGGACCTAAATTCCGTAGTAGGAGAACGGTGCCCTACCTCCACGACAGCCCGACGTGCAGTCTTGGAGGGAATCAGGACAACAGCCTGAAATTTAGGGGCCATACAGGCAGTAGATTGAATAGGGTTTCGGGGTCTAGTGTACTATAAGGTTTAATCAAGGAAACAAAAGAAGCCCTCTTCTAAATGTTGTAAGGGCTCCTATATTCACCTGATACCCGGCAAGATTTCAATCATATTGCAGTAGCAGCGCATAGCACCATCTCATTTCAAGGATGCCATCATAGGGTAGTCTCCCCAAACCATAAACCCTAAAATCATCTGCGGCGAAGGTGGCGGCTCCCGGCAGATTCACAAGATCACCAGCGAATGGGACAGTCGGAAAGGCCAAGAGTTCTTGTGTTGTTTAGGCTTTAGGGGTTTAGGGTTTAGGGTTTCGGGCTAAGCGGGGCCGTCAGGGACCCATGCCTTTTCCATAATTCTGCTTTACCTGGTTCAGAATCGCTCGCGAATACCGATGTTTCCTTACTTCCTGGCATTACCTTATCCTGGCAATTTTATGTTGCAATTTCTTGTGTTTATGTTGCGGTTTCCGCAAACTACACTGCTATTTGCGGTGTTTTGTGCACTGCTTCATTCTTTCGACATGTCCGTAACTAAGCCCCTTTGTTCTTGCAACTGGGTCCAAGTAAGAAGTTTATGCATTACCATATCCTCGCAATTGTATGTTGCAATTTCCTGTACTTTTGCGGCTTCCGTAAGCTACACTGGTATTTGCGGTGTTTTGTGCACTGCTTCATTCTTTCGACGTGTCCGTAACTAAGCCCAGGTTTGCTGGTGGGGCCATACTTTCGCACGGGTCCCTTGTGGACCCACTAGGGTTTAGGGTTTAGGGGTTTGGGGTTTAGATTTTTCAGCACTTGCGATCAGCAGTTCACTTGTTATGATGATAATCACAACAATAAGGACAGTTTCGGCGATGATAGCGGTAATCGAATATAGGGGCCTCGATAATTACCTATACTATTCTGCGGGGGTTCTTCATGATGAATATCGTACAACATACCCCAAGACCCTATTCTAATTATTAAGGCCTCTAAACCCTAAACCCTTATAGTAGCCCTTATAGTATCCCCTTTATACAGGAACCCCTTTAAAGGAACCCCTATTCCAAATATTAAGGCCCCTATATTCGCTGTGACCGTTGGCTTCTGCCCCCGTGCGCCCAAGTCGCATGAGGCAACACCCAGACCCGAACCTTGCAAACCCTGAGCCCCACATTGTTAGGGTTTAGGGTTTAGGGTTTAGGGTTGAGGGCAATATAGGGGCCTTAGTAATTAGAATAGGGTTTTGAGGCCCATTCTACTATAATCTATAATGAAGAAGCCCCAAACTGCAAGACAAGGGGCCTTCATAATTGTTCTGGCGTTCGCGCAATGTAGGGCCTAGGGGCCTTAATGACTAGAATAGTGTTTTGGGGCCCATTTTGCTTTAAGTACCAAAAGGAGCCACCAAAATAGTACTGGTCATTATTTCCCCTACCTTACCCGCTTTGGGCCCTAAGGGTTGTAAGATTGTCAGGCGTGGAAGACCTCACGCCCAACGACATGATGATCAAGTTCACCGAACGAAGCATCGAGGTCGGCCTGAAAACAATCGTGCCGCTTTGAGCCCTTCGCCTACGGCCTCACCTGGCCGCTAGCAGTCATCACTGTTGACCTTTTCTGTTGGCATCTGTCATCTACATTATCTTCAGGGTTGCGGTACTTTCTGTCGTAATAATACCCCCTTGTAGTTCCGAAGAAGCCCGAATTTACTATATACCACCCCCCCGTCCAACAAAAATCCTCGTCTACTAATGAAGGCCCCTGCACCTGTTATTTTGGCTCCTTCGAAATCCCTAAACCCTAAACCCTAAACCCTAAACCCTAAACCCTCCTGAGCCTGAGAGGTCTGCAAGCGTGGGGGGCCCAGGCAGTCGGCTGGATCTTCGCTGCCGACTCATCGGTGTTAGCTACGGTGTTCATGGAGGTTCCGGGGTTTTGGGTTTTTCGTAGCTTGCAGAGCTTTGGGTTTAAGTTTTAGGGTTTAGGAAAGTTTAGGGTGTAGCTTTCAGAGTTTAAAGAACATAGGTCTTACGGTCGAGGGTTGTGTTTTGATGTAGTTAAAGCATCGAGTAAACACGGCGCCAGTGCTAGTACCCTAGCTTACGATCACGATGATTGATATGGTCAGCCAACCCTGAACACGCTTCTACAAGTGGTCTGGTGTAAAGGCCCCTAAACCCCCCTTAATCCTAAACCCTATCCTAAACCCTAAACCCTAAACCCTAAACCCTCAACTCTACGTACATGTCTCACTGACAAGCTTAGGCGGTCCTGGCCGCTTCTTTTCATCACTCGAGGATCTCCTGTGATCCCAAAGCCCTATTCCTAGGAAGTATTACGTTGATGGACAAAATCCTGCATGACCCAAATATAGTATAGTACTATAAATCCCATAGTTTAGGTATACAAGGTCATGAAGGATTTTGTCCATCAACCGTATGGAGAGCCCTTGAAGGGGAGCCTTCTAAACCCTACTTCTGGCTCTCTTAAAAAGGACCTCATTGAGAGGGTCTATATACCCAAGAGTCCCCCCACTCCTAACTCCTACCTCTAAGCCTTTCCTCGCAGGCAAATTCCGAAAGCCCTGAACCCGCTTGGCTCGACTCTTTGGGTCGGAATGACTAGTATCTGGTACTACGGTTGATGATCTGATAATATAAACCTTGCATTACCCATAATAGGCAGTATACCATTGTTCCCATAGTTTAGGCTCCTTAAGGTAATGCAGGGTTTGTATCATCAACAGTAGTATACTCTTGAGCCCCTGATGCTTAAGAGCGATTGCTAAATATCTTAAGGCCCCTGGAACCTAAGCCCTAAAACCGTATCTTCAGGCCCCTAGATCCGACCCTTAGAAGCCCCCTATAGTAAAAAGAAGGCCCCACACCCAAGAGTCCCATCCCAAAACGCCCCCGACCTGAAATTCTTCGTGACAGCTGATGACATCAGAAACATATTTCTGTAAATGTGTTAGAAGGGTGCCGTACTACATTGGGGACCTAAACATGCACCCTAGTTTAGAGAACTACCCATAAAAATGCATGTCTGAATGAGGCTGTAACTTGCTTCCTCATGCTATGCACCCTAAACCCTACCCAAACCCGTCTACACCCTAAACCCTAAGCCCTAAAGCGTGCCGCAGCGTGGCTACCGGGAAAGCCTTAGGCGGTGGGAGTTCTGCGTGGCACATGATCCGCGGCTTGCACGGGTACGGAGCCCAGGGCCAGAGGTCTGCATCGGTTCCTTGGGGTCTAGGGCTGGGGGATCTGTTAGGGTTTAGGGTTTAGGGTTTAGGGTTTAGGGTTTCGGGTTTAGGGTTTAGGGTTCAGGGTTTAGGGTTTAGGTCTCCAAGATGATTGGGACATGTTTTAAGGGTTTAGGGTTTAGGGTTTAGGTCTCCAATAGATGATTGGGACGTGCTCTAAGGGTGTAGGGTTTAGGGTTTAGGGCAATTTTGGGGCCTTAGTAGATCAGACTGGAGTTTGGGGGTACACTGTGCTATCGTGATTAGGCATTGTGGACTCCAAGTCTCACAGTCATCCTAGACCCCGAAACCTAAATCCTGGACCCCTACAGCCATAAAGCTCCCTTAACCCTAAACCCTAAACCCTAAGCCCAAATCCTGGACCCCTACAGCCATAAAGCTCCCTTTTTGAAGAGATTCCCTACGTTCAGCTCGGGCGCAGTTTTGTTCACAGGCTCTCCGGACAGGCGCTCAGTACTCCAAGCCTTCGAGAAGAGGGGACCCGTGATTTCGAGGTGTGTTGTGAGAATTTCCGGGTTTGGGATCATGTCCCTAAACCCTAAACCCTAAACCCCAAACCCTAAACCCTAAACCTTAGTGCTCCCCCTCCAATCTTCCCAAAGTTTCTGCCCAGAACGAAGGGAAACTTATCCCTAGGGCACAGGTCCCTAGACTCCTGGTTTAGGGTGTAGGGTGTAGGGGTTTCGGGGTTTAGGGTTAGGTCTGAGGGTTTAGGAGTTTAGGGTTTAGGGGTTTAGGGGTTCAGGGGTTTAGGGTCTAGGGGTTTAGGGTTTAGGGTTTAGGGTTTAGGGGTTTAGGGGTTTAGGTTTGATGCTTTAGGGTTAAGGGTTTAGGGTTTAGGAAACAGAAAACCCAAAGTTCTTCAGTGCACAGCCCAGCCCCTGCATGTTTCGAGTCTTATGTCGTCATGTACCGCAAAGCCCTGTTGGAAGTATGAAGACCCCGATATTCAACCAATGCCCCAAGGAAAATTACCTAGAGACCCTAAACCCTAAACCCTAAACCCTAAACCCTAAACCGACTTCGACCCCTCGTTGAGTTCGGACGCACCCGAAACCCCCCACCCCACCAAAATACAACCTCATCCTCAGCGCCGTAGAACCGTAAGCCTGATCCAAAAACCCTAAACCCTAAACCCTCATAGTCCCGACCCACTAAATCCCGATGGCCTATAACCCTTATAACCCCTAGTCCCGTAACCCTAAATCCTAACACAAGCTTCCAAATCCCCAATGCCGATATCCTAAACTCCAAACCCGGCACCCTCAACCCTGCAAGCCCTAAACCAGGCCGACTTTGCAGCAGCTGAACAAGGAGAAATGCTACTGGACCATGACGAAGCTCGGCCCTTGGACGGTTTAGGGTTTAGGGTTTAGGGGTCTTATAAGGTTTCACAGGGTCTCCATGAGGGCTCTAGCGGTTCCTTGATTGGGATGCCCTGGGCTGTTGCTACCGGATTCAATTTATGTTGCCATACTAGGCATTTAGCGTAAATAGCCTGGTGTCCTTACTATGGCAACGCAGCTTAAATCCCGTAACAAGAACCTCAGTTCAGGGATTTGGAGCTTCAGGTTTCGAGTTGATAGGCTTCAGGATTTAGGATTTCGGCCTTAGGATTTAGGCTTTAGGGTTTAGGATTTAGGCTTTAGGGTTTAGGATTTAGGCTTTAGGATTTAGGCTTTAGGATTTAGGGTTTAGGATTTAGGATTTAGGATTTAGGGTTTAGGTTTTAGGATTTAGGATTTAGGATTTAAGATTTAGGGTTTAGGATTTAGGATTTAGGATTTCGGATTTAGGGTTTAGGATTTAGGGTTTAGGATTTAGGATTTAGGGTTTAGGATTTAGGATTTTAGTGGCGGTCACATCTTGGAAAGGGTCCCCCCCGAGATCGGCCACCAGCCTGCTCCAAAACACACATTTTACGAAGAGAATTTAACTTGGCCAAATCCAGCTTGGATTTGCAATTTTCAGGATTTAGGATTTAAGGTTTAGGATATAGGATTTATAGCGGAGCATACAGACGAAAATTCGGAAGCACAAAACAAGCGAGAAACGACCAAAATCAAAACGCAAAACATGCGAAAACCAGCCTTTTTCTACAAACCCGGAAACGGCAGATTTGCAAAAATATAGACGTTTCGTATGTTTTTTCCGAAAGCGCAGCCACGGAAGCAATGCGTATGTGGCTCGAAATCCTTCGTCCAGCAGGTCTGGGGGTGTCCGGGGGTTCCCGGAGACAGCTGTCCGGAGCGAGGTCTTGGGGTGTCTAGGGTGGGGGCCGGACCCCCCGGACACCGGCAAACATTTCCGGACACCCCTGACCCTCCAGACATGCCGGACTCCTCACACAACCGAGGCTCTCCACTTGGCTTACAGGCTTTTGAGGTGCTCCCAGCCTCGCCCGAAGCTAAGACCAGCCTCGGCTCCTCCGAGCGTGCAGGTACTTATTCGACGCCTCCACGACATACTGCTCAATCTTCGCCGCATCTCGGGTGGACTCCGTTCTTGGACCCTTGCAAACGACAGGCTCTGTGGAAGCGTCATCTTGTCGCCATACAACTCCGCTGTCGCCTTCGTAGCAGCGCTCTTCGTCCTGCTGCCTCGAGCTCTGCTCCTCTGCGCCATCTTTGTGCTTTGCTCCTTTCTCCGTTGTT